TAATATCTTGACAATGGTCTCAGACTTGCAAGTTCATTCAGATTGTAGATACTTCACTAGACTACAATCCACTAATTAATCGCAAGCCTGAACTAGAGACTGTACGCAAGTAAAAAAATTTCTCTATAAATGCATTGACGCGATTTCGAGCTCTTCGAACAATCGTCGAACAATCTCTTCATCTATTGAAAAGTTATGACTGACCGGATATTCTCAATCTCTTTTATCTTTATATAATACTCGTTGCGGTTTTCACAAACTGCACAATGGATGGAGCTAAACGCTTGCTGTCTGCGTGTCTGAGATCTCTGTCTTACAGCGATCGTTCTTCTTGATCATTTCTCGCCTTGCAGTCGTTGGGCACAGATGAAGGCATCAGGATGTTAGTGAAGACTGTGTTTTTTTACATTGCTATCACTTTGGAAGCGTTTATCTTCTGTTTTGCCGGCGAATATTTGAGCAATAAAGTAAGTATCTGAAATCACTTGTCAGAAGCTTCTTCTTTTTCTACTGTGCTAGATTAAACAAAAAAGAAATCATTAGTGTTGCTGGTATAAAAATTGAATTGATACGAAGAGATTACTCACGTGAAAATAAAGCAATTTGCTTGAGTCGAAAACGACATTTTTCCGCATATACCCATCTCTCATTTGCATTTTAGAGTAAAATGATTGGTGACGCGGTATATGAATCTGTTTGGTATACTCTCAAGCCTCGAGATTGCCGGATTCTGTTGTTTGTAATCGTGAGATCGCAAAGACGGTTGACAATCACTGCAGGGAAATTTATGGATTTATCATTAGAAGGATTCACAAACGTAAGATTTCAATAAAATTAAGAACTTTTATATAATTAATTTATATAATTAATTTTTATATAATTGTTTTAATATAAGCTTATTTTAGTATATAAGATATCTATATTATGTCTTTATTGTGAAAAAAAGCATAAAGAATTTTGTACATTGTATTTAATATTTAATTATACTCTATTATACGAGATTACAATTTATATTTGTTAAATGTAGAAATACAATTTTACTAAATGTAGAAATATAATATGAGAAAAAATTAATACAGTTTAAAACGGAATATTATAGTTTAAGGACACAGTATATCATATTTACATTATTGAAAGCACTATTTTCCTTCTATCTTACATTATTTGTAATTATTGCTAAAATCATAAGTAAATATAATTTATATCACTTACTTTGTTTACAATAATATTATTATATTATATTAATTCTTCTGTACGGTAAATTGATTAATTTCATGTTACTTTTGCAGATTTTAAAAGCCTCCGCCTCGTATGTATCTGTTTTATATGCAATGTATTAATGTTGAAGAAGTTTAAAATTGTGTACACATGCTGTGAAAAAATTAAAGTATTATTCATTTCTTTTTATAAACTTATTATAACAATTTAATAACACACGTCATCGTGGATACAAATTGAAAAAAAATATAAATCTTTTTTTTTATTACACCATGATCCTGTAACACAGATGAAGAAGAGTTTAATTGATTTAATTTTATATTATGATTTATTACCTTAGAATATCATTTTTATCATCGTCATGTTCTTTTTTGTTAGATAAGGTACGGTTAGGTTAGGTAGGTGAGAACAGTACAAAAAATATAATATAAAGAAAGATATAAAGATATATAAAAGCACTTGAAACTTTTTGCACCATTAGAATAAAAAAAGTGACTTTATATCTATCAATAAAATTTATTATTAAATTTATTATTTAGGAAAAAATAATTATGAAACTTATTATTTTCGAGTTATCGTTAAGAAAAGTGATTTTGTATTTATTAACAAAATTTTTTATAAAAATGGAAATCTGGAGCTTTCATTGCAGCTTGATATTACATACTATTTCTCTATAAGAAATTGTCACTGCGTACATTTAGAAACATCTGCGCATGATCTGCGCGCATAATCTGCCATATTTCTCTGCCATATTTTTGCATTTGAAAAAAAAAAAAATCATTATTCTAGTAGATTCATTTGTGAAACGTAAGTAAAAAGACCATCTTCTGCATTTTTTAAGCTAATTTGTTCCATTGTCAGCAACATTTGTTACGACAAATTAAGGCAATCATTATACATCGTGGTCGTACATTGTAATCATTGCTCGATCCTTGCAATTTTAATCTCCTGTCTCGTGTAAACCACTATAACTTTTCAGTTGGTTGCAATTGACCGGTGATTACCTCGCTACGGTTACGTTTAGTCGGCGAGCCTTGCGTGATCAATTTATCGCTCTAGAGTCGTTTTAGAACAGCCCATTGACGCTGCAATCCATGGCTTTGCGACATTAGCAGAGTCGACAAGTATCTCAAGTTACATTTTGGATAACTCAGATGTTTAATTCTCAAATTTTACGTAACAGTTTGTAAATTTGTATATCTTTTTAATATAAATTATAAGGTGCCACGATGCGGAGAATGACGCAACAACCTACAAGCACCATTGCTTTTTCGGTGCAAATTGGTCTTCGTATTGTTGGTATTTGGCCTAATGCGCCATACGCGCTATTGTTTCGGGGTATTTGGATATTGACCATCAGCATAGTGCAGATTTTCCAATATTGGTGGATTGTTCTTCACTTCGGCGATGACATGTCACATCTGTTGGACGGTTTAAGTGTCACCACAGAGTACACAGTGATGTCTCTGAAATTAATTATTTTATGGTTGAATAGTCGGTAAGAGAATATGTCTTATGTATAATCGAAGATGGAAATCGAGTTTATTTCTACATTATTCCTCAGGCCACAATTCTTACAGTAACATTTTTTCCCTATGATAAATAAAGATCTTATGTCTTATTTTTTGGTAAAGAATTGAATATATTTAAAAGATAATTTAAGAATAACGAAATCAATCAGACGAAATCAATCAGACTTAAATAATTAATTGTTCTTAGTTTCATTAATCAATTTATGTAGGTGATAATAAATGACAAATATTGTCATTTTATTGCAATAATATTCACCTAGATCCAATTTTATAAAGCTTCTTTATTTTATTTTATTTTTTAAATTTGTTTATCATTATATGTTTTATTATTATATTCATTATTGTATATTACATTAAGCATATTTATTATTGTATTTTTCACTGTATTTCATTTCTCGCTGCATATTTATCGCTAAACATATATTGAAAGAGATTAGATCTATTATCTTTGCAAAACTTAGTTGTTTTCTTATTGTGTTTCCATCTGCGAATTGTTTATCTGTACATTCGGATAAAGTAAACTGCCGCAGTATATTTTACGACGCCCTAGCTGCGATGGCTGCAGACTGGAAGGAAACTACCATCGGCGAAATGCACACCATGACGACCATGATGAGCAAGGCCAATCTATCGCGGCGGTTCTCCAACGTGATCATTGGACTTCATTCGATAGCTGCGTGTTCCTATGGCATTGGCGTGCTTGTATCTCACACCGACAACGCCGATGGAATTGAGACGCCCGTTCGCGAGTTCACGCTGAAGCTACAACTGCCGTTTGAGTGCAACGAGTCGCCATTCTATGAGCTCGTTATGTGCCTGGAGTTCCTTCATCAACTGGCATCTTCCGCCACGACCGGCGTATTGAACTCTCTGATCATCACGTTAGTGAGTGGAATCTGCGAAAGAAGAATTATTTCTTGATATATCTTTTTAAGCTACATAACTAATATAATTGGGAGGTATTCTATAACAACAATTACTATGTCTTTCATGACGGCTGTAATTTTGTTTATTAGCAATATGCTACGTATATACTGTGAAAAATGAATAAGAATAATGGATATTCGGTTATTGTATTAATACTTGATACTTTTTCTCGTTTTTTCTTGGTGGAAAAAGAGACTCTTTTCTTTTTATTTTTTTTTCGCTTAGTTTTTATAGTATGTTAATAACACACGAGAATATTTCCAAAGCATCAATCTAAAAAAGAATAATGTATTCTTTATCAGCAAATTATTCAACGCTTATAAACATACTAGTAATGTTATAATCTAATAGCCTCTTGCATTTTATAATTAAGTTTGTCTCACAAAAATGTAATATTTTAAAGTAAAATCATACATTTATTCATCTCAATTTTTCTTCCTACATTAAAAGAGTCTTAAATTTAAATTAAATATTTCTTGCATGTTATATTATATACAAAGTGTTTGATTTCTAATGATACACCACTTGAGTGGTACAGGTAGACCGGAAACCGAGTAGAAAAGTTCTCTAGCATTTTACGATATTCGCAATTAGTAATGAATTATTAATTATAAAAGATCGTAGAATGAGCGCGTATCCGCCCAGCCCATTGCATGCAGGCGCGCGGCGAAATGCAATCGTCCAACCCACGTTTAGGGGTAGGTAGAAAAGATATTTAAACGTGAAGTCTACAAATGACAGACCATCTATTTATAGTGCACACCAAACATTTCGTTGGACTTCACCACGCGCTCGCATTGGCCAATGGGCTGGGCGGATACGCGCTTATTCTATAATCTTTAATAATTAATTACTCATTACTAATTGCGAAAATTGCAAAATGATAGATGACTTTTCTGCTTAATTTAATTAGCTTTATCTCTATACAAACGGCATACCAGAAATTAGACATTTTTCATATATCCTTTTTCACTTGTATAATAATTTTTTGTATATCAAACAATTTCAACAGTTTAACAAAAAATTATTATTTTCAATATTCCTTTAATTTACATTACATGATTTTATAGAATATATATGTTTTCAGATCCTTCACGCAAGCGGTCAGATAGAAATTCTGTGTGACGCGTTGAGAGATGTCTCTCCTGAAAAGAACAACCGACGTCTAGCCGTCTCCATCATGAAGGAGCTGATCGGCAAGCATCAAAAAATCATCAGTTTTTCGGACAAAATCGAAAGAATCTTTTGTTATATAGCGCTAATCCAATTTTTATCGAGCACATTAGTGACTTGCTGCTTAGGATTCATGATCGTAACAGTAAGTAATCGTTCGCCAAGAGTGAGGAGAAGTGCAAAGAAATGATCTGTGTCTCGCCGATAGTGATCTACATCACGGTTCGATGTTGCAGTCGATCGGTACAGCGCAAGGCTCGGATATGATCGATAGCTCGGCATTAATGAAAGCTATAGTGTTTTATATGGCCGCTACGGTAGAGGCGTTTATCTTCTGCTTTTGCGGAGAATACCTCAGTGCCAAGGTCGGAACGCATAATCGAGATCCTTATGCTTCATCATTGATGATCATTGATGATTATTGATGATTATAGAGATATCGATTTACGAAGATTTCTGCGCGTGCACGCGCATGCGGTTATAGATTATCTGGCAATTTCAGATATTGATAATTGCATTTTTATCAGATGGAGAACGCACACAATTGTTTAAACGAGAAATTAAATCTTCTTCTTCAATATGAATGTTTGTTGCAATTAGTTTCCAATAATTATCTGTATTATTTATAAATTTAAAAAACTTTTGTCTTTATTACGTTATTAAATAATTATCACTTTAAATAATTATTTATTTTTATTATTTAAATAATTATTTAATTAATGTTAATAATACTACAACACCATAATTATCTGAGGAGTACGTATTTTTGTGATAATCTAGAAATATGACAATGGCTTTTGTGCTACATTTAAACTTAAGTGTCTGAATTGTTGCATTTTTATAATAGAATCAAGATTTTAATATCAATTTATCTCACTGATAATACGATATTTTTGCGACACTCTTCTTCAGAGCAAAATGATCGGCGATGCGGCGTACAGATCAATTTGGTACGATCTCGAACCTCATGAAAGCAAGCTTGTCCTGTTGATAATATTGAGATCACAGAGAAGACTGACCATCACGGCCGGAAAAATTATGGATTTATCCTTAGAAGGATTCACGAGCGTAAGATTCCAGCATTGTGAATTTTTGTTAATGAAATCTTTGTCTTGACGGACATTTGTGTCATTCTAAACGACCGCGATTTATTACAGAATTATTAAATAATTTTATAACACAATTTTTTAATGATTAATTAAAACATATCTATTTTGAAGAATATATTTATTTTATATTTAAGTAAATTATTTATTTATGCGTTTATTTATTTGTATCTTTTTATTGTACTATCATTTGATATAATTTTTTTAGATTATAAAGGCTTCTGTTTCGTATGTGTCAATATTGCACGCGATGTATTGAGGTTTGAAGAGACGAGTCATTCTGTCTAGATGCCCATTATGAAAATAGTAGGATTTTTTTATCAGTTCTTGCTTGTTTTGATGACAAACCGATGATGATAAATTAAATGTAGATAATACAAGATGTACTAATTTAACTTCCGCAGTTTATAATAAAATGTTTAGATTTTCACATTTGCTATTCACATGTGAACCTATATTTTTTATATTTCACGATATAAAAAAATAATTCGCTTGTTTATATACTTACAAATTATTTTCTTGTTATACATCTTTTTTAAATAAAAATAATTTTTGGTGTAAATGTTTTACAGAAATATGATTATATGTCGTATCGCTCAACTTATGCTACATTTTTGTTCATTTTTATTTTGATCTTCGCTTCACTATATTTATTTTTCTCATTCTCAGTGAGCATTGAGAAAGCTTGAATCTTCAGTCTTCAGTAAGCTTTATGCATCTTTAATGTAAATGACTTGTCAAACGAGCGATTCCATCTAGAAAAAACTCGATATTTTCAAGCTATAGAGAGAAAAGACCTGAAATAAATCGTTTTTTCTATACTTCATTTTCCTTCAAGAGCTATAATCCAACAAATTGGCGAGCATTCAATATCAATTTCATTCGCCATTTCTGCGAAGTATATGTAATTACAATTGATCGATGGCTTATTGTCGTGTATTATCTAATCTCCCCCTTCCCTCAACTTTTTTTCTATATTCGATGTTATTATGTCGAGGAGATTCGCATAGCTCGGAGACGATAGTCTGTTCGACTTTAAAGAGAAACATGTTAGAATTGGGCAAAAATACGACGCGAATAGGACGCGCGAGCACCATCAGCGAATCGGTCGAAGCCGGTTTGCGCTTTATTGGAATCTGGCCACATTGCGTATATGCGAATATCAATTGGTGGACTTACATCGTGTCGGTGGCGATAGTGCAATATTTTCAATATTCATATATCATGGTGCATTTTGACATCAACGATCTCTCGGTTCTTGTAGACGGTTTAAGCATCACGTTGGGTTACAGCCTGTCGTTCCTCAAACTGATCAATCTCTGGTTCAATCGTCGGTAAGATTATGGCTTAATGGGTTTTTCTGCAGACGAGGCGAGCAATCGATCGCATTTTCTTTCTTTTCGTTTCTACATTGCGCGAACGATATACCAGATGTAAGAAATGTTCCCGTAGAAAGTTGTACGTTATTCTGGATACAATGGACAAGGACTGGAGTGACGGGATCGCAGTCCACTCAGACATATCCACGATGATCAGACACGCCAATTTGTCTCGTCAGTGCTCCAATGTGATGATCACGACGAATGCGTTAGCCGTGTTCTTCTACACGATCGGCGGGCCAATACTCCGATCGATGATTCAAAAGAACGAGGATACAACTCGCGAGCTGCCCATCAAGATGGAATTCCCTTTTAATGTCGATAATTCACCGATTTTTGAGCTGATATTGATACTCCAATTCTTTCATGATTTGTCGGTAGCTTGTATCATAGCTATGCTGAATGCTTTGCTCATTACTCTGGTAAGTTTCGATTATATTTTATAATCAATTAATATAGTTGATTTACGGATTGTTAAAAATAATTTCGTTATAAATCATTATCATAAAAAAACGTTATTATCATAAAAAACAGAAATAATTATTTTCATATAGCATATTTTAGCTTCATAGCTAATTATTAAAAAAAAATATATACGTATATATATATATATATATTATTTTTTTTTAAATATTAAACAGAAAATATTCTCTTTGTACTATTGAAAATAATTCAAATTTGAATAAAAATATTTTTAATAAACATGATTAAGATTAAACATATAATTTGCACACTGTTTACAGCGCTGATTCTTATTAGTCTGTTAAATTTTAAATATCTAAATTACCTAAATTTTTGCTTTTTAAGATTAAAACTTGAATGATAATCAGAAATAAATTAATTATGTTAATTTTTATAGTACATATTAGAAATTACATTTTTATTTTCTTGATATATGTATATATGATATATTTGATTATTAATTTTTGTTGTTTTTCTTAGTAGTATTGAATTTTTATGTTTCAATGAATATAATAATTTTATTATTAAATATTACCACTCTGTATGTACAATCTTTCAGATTTTTTATGAAAATATCATTCTAAAAATATCTAAAATGAAAAATATTTTTTAGGTGCTGCACGTAAGTGGTCAAATTGATATCATGCGACAAAACTTCCTGAAAATTTCTTCTAAGAAGCCTACATCAGAATCTTCTCTGGCTACTATTAAACTTTTAATTAACAGACATCAAAGAATCATCGATTTATCAGACAATATTGAAGATCTTTTCTCGAATATCGCATTGTTACAATTTATTTGGAATACTTTGGTTATATGTTGCATAGGCTTCGTGATCGTAATAGTAAGTTGTGATCTCACATTTTTTTATATATTTTTTCTTATACTTTTTTTATACTTTTATATAACTTTTTCTTTCACTCGTTATACGTGTGCGTTTACATGCGTACGCATTTCTTCATTTTTAAATATTTCTCATAAGGTACTCACAAATTTATGCTTGAATGTATATGGCAACAATGTTTTATATTCTTCATTGCAGTCCATCGGTACGGAAGAAGGCGCTACGATGATAACAAAATCGCTCATCTTTTACATCGCGATAACTCTCGAGGCATTCGTCTTTTGCTACGCCGGAGAATATCTCAGCGCTAAGGTCAGCGTAATGGAGCGTAAATGGTAGCGTCGTAGATTTCGTATTAATTTCCAAATGAGGCATAATTAGACGCGATTAATCGTGAAAGTTTCTTATCATTGCAGAGCAAGTCTATCAGTGACGCCGCGTACGAATGCTTCTGGTATGATCTAACACCAAGTGAATGTCGAGTCTTGATGTTCCTCATGCTGAGATCGCAGAAACGATTAACCATCACTGCGGGCAAGATGACTGATCTGTCGTTGGAGAGTTTTACGACCGTAAGTTTCTCTCTTGAACTATCCAGAAACTTTCGTCGTTTTAAACCAATGAAACTGAAACAATAATTTTAATTACTTCAGATTATGAAATCATCCGCATCGTATATATCCGTTTTGCGCGCATTATATTAAAAACCATAAAGTTGCATTTAAGAAATATCTTCTAGTAGAGTAAAATACTGAATTGAATTTATTACTATGACAATAACGAATGATTGACATTTTGCAAGGAAAAAGATGCTTCTACACGATATGACAGGGATAACTTTAATCAACGTTCCGTTGATCGGAATATTGAAATACATAGATTTATATCAATACAAAGAAATTTGACAAAGATTTAATTTTTTAATAATATAATTTAAATTTATATGTGAAAATATTATTTATTTATAAAATGTTATCATTGAGAATAAGAACAATCTACCTTTCATGTATATACTGACCACTAAATGTTTTTCGCCTTGTTCTATCATATTATATTATCCTTTTTGCCTGTAGATAATTGTTTTTCAAAAATATGCACAGTTTTTTTAATGGATATAGATGCGCCTAGAAAATGGTTCTCTTGGAGTTTAGAAAGTTTCATCTCATAGCGCAATTATCAAGCGCTATCAAGCAATATTACATATGCTGTTTTGTAGAAAAATATAAAGCGGCTGTATTTTGTTTTTTATTCAGTGTACTTACATCTCAAGAAATAATGGGATTGTAATAGATTGTAATAGCGTATAATTACGATTGATCGAGGGGCCTGCGCTTTATTTCTCTACCTACGATTATTCAGTAACGTTTACATCGTGCAATTTTACTAAACGAAGTTCACATGAGTCATAGTGCATTGACATCTCGATAGTCGTCGGCTCGCAACGTTCGGTGATTGTCACAGAACGATGAAGCGCACAAGTACCATCAGCCGCCCAGTCGAAATTGGTCTCCGTTTCATCGGCATGTGGCCGGACTCGGCTTATGCGACTCTCTATTGGTTAATCTACATGACGACGATGGTGATAGTGCAATATTACCAATATGCGTATGTCCTCACGCATTTTGATTTGAGTGATATCTCGCTCCTCATGGACTGTCTCGGTCTTACCCTGGCGTATACGCTTGCCTTTCTTAAGCTCTTTGCCTTATGGTGGAATCGCCGGTAAGACGTATTTTTTGTGACGTAACTTGAAACAAAATAACGGTGATCAAAGTTACATTATTGAGTAACCTTTAATAAAAATGAAGTTGGATTATTAATAAATCTTGCCTAAGTAAAATCAAATATTTAAATGTTCTTCTATTTTTTTCCGCAAAGAAATTTAATGTATACAATACTCGATATACAAGCTGCTTTCTGCAGGACATTTTATTATATTGTAAAGGCGATGGATCAAGATTGGAGAGAATGCGTTCTCAATGACTCGTACGAGTCTACGATGACTGGTGTGGCGGACTTGTCACGTCGTTGCTCCAACGTGATGATCAGTATCAATGCTTTAGCTGCTTTTTTCCTTTCGATCGGCGAACATTTGCTTCAGTCGATGGGCGACGCCAGTGGAGTTGATATAATTAATAATTCTCGAGAACTCCCTATAAAAATGGAGTTCCCCTTTGATGTCAGCGAATCGCCAATTTTTGAATGCTTTCTAGTTGGACAATTCCTCTACGAACTGTTGCTGGCTTCTATAGTTGGTATGATAAATGCGTTACTCGTATCACTGGTGAGTTCGCAATGATCCTGCAAAAATATTTTTATATACGTTTTAATAATTAACATATACTTAATACTTAATATATTTAATATTTTCTTTCTCCAGCTTTTTCATTGATTATAATTGCGTATCTTTTATATATATATATATATATATATATATATATATATATATATATATATATATATATATATATATATTATTATATATATATATATAT